CATCATTACACGTTAGCTGCAGGTGGAAAACACCTCAGCTATTGTGCCGCAATACAAAAGGCAAGAAAAGAAAAAACACAAAAAACAGTGGCACGCCCGCTGAGTCCCCAGTCACGGATGGACATCGTTCCGGAGAGCTAACAGCTGGCTGCCGTAAAAGAAAGTCATATTATGCCTAACGATTGAGATCGTGATTGGAGGGGGATGCTAAACAGGAGGGGGATGGACAAAGGAACTCACAACACAAACGCCATTGGGGCCGGCTCCTAGCCATATCAGCAAGTGTGTCCAGCCAAACGTGTTCACCGTCCTTAGGACCCCAGCCAGGCAGTCGGGATGCACCAACCGACGCCAACTTCGAAGTGAGGGTTTTCATTTCTCGCGACCAAGTCATCACTTGGCCTCCCCTCCTCCTCTTCCAACCGCACCCACAACGCGCAAACAATGCAAGTCGTGGGAGTCGGTGTGCTGGCATGCGCAAGACGTGGCCCAGCCATCGGAGCCTGGTGCGTGATATAATCGTGCTGAGCGGTTCACTCGCTCTTCCTGCACCAAATACGCGACGTAGAACACGCTCATTGCTCACGCGGTGTTCCCACCAGACATGAGCTAAGCTGCGAAGGCAGCGATGATCGAACGTGACGAGTCTCTTCATGTCTGTCGACCTGATGGGCCAGGTTTCACAGCCATATAGGAGAGTTGAACGGACGGCTGCGTTGTAAACTCTGCCCTTGAGGGCGAGAGTAATGTCGCGTCTGCGCCACAGGTGGCGGAGATTGGCAAAAGCACCTCGAGCTTTTGCTATACGGTTCGTAACCTCATCTTCAATCCCACGGGTGCTAATATAGCTGCCCAGGTACTTGAATTCCTGAACGACTTCTAGCAGATCACCACCAAGCGTTAGCGCAGGATTGGGTCCCTGCCAATCTTGGAGAAGTACTTTGCATTTTGATGGAGCAAAGCATAGCCCAAAACGACTGACAGCCAGTGCTAATCGGTTCAGTGCTGTTTGGCATGTTTGGGAGCCGTCACAGATTAGGGCAATATCGTCTGCATACTCCAAGTCAAGAAGTCGCTCACCAGGGAGTAGCTCCACACCTTCTAGGTCGTGTTCAGCGAACGCTGTTTCCATGACTTCATCAATAGCGAAGTTGAAGAGGAAAGGCGACAGCGGGCATCCTTGTCTCACACCGCTGGTGATACTGAAGGGTGGCGAGAGTTTGCCATAAACCCTCACCCTGCCCGAACTATGTGCGTACAGCGCTTTGATAATGTTTACATATTTATCAGGCACACCTTTGCTCAACAGACAGTCCCAAAGGGCACATCGATCGACTGAGTCGAAGGCACCTTTTATGTCAAGAAACACGACAACGGTGAGTCGCCAATAAACATGGCGGTGCTCCAACACTTGACGCAATGTGAAGATGTGGTCGATGCAGCCCCGACCTCGACGAAATCCGGCTTGCTCTTCACGAATTTGGCTTTCACGAGTGCCAGTCAGTCTGTGGAGAATGAGAGAGGCAAGCAATTTAGAGGCAATCGAAATCAGACTGATCCCTCTATGATTGCCACATACCAAACGGGAGCCTCCCTTGAAAATTGGGACAATGACGGAGCGGTTCCAGTCTGTCGGGACTGTCTCCTGCTCCCAAAGTTTTACTAGCAACTCGTGTAGATCACCTATTAGAGCAGGTCCACCGAACTTGAAGAGGGCTGGAGGAATAGTATCTGCTCCTGCGGCCTTATGCAATTTCAACAGCCTGATCTCACGTTCGACTTCTGCGCGTGAGGGCGGATCCAAGGAGACGGCCCAAGGAGAAGGGCGCTCAATGCCCGAAGAAAGTGATAACTCAGGTTGGTTAAATTGCATAGCAAAGTGTTCAGCCCAACGCTCCAAGCGTTTTGACAGGCTGTGGATCATCTGCCCACTCTCGTCGCGTATGGTCTCGCTAACACCAGGTCTCCTGCTGCCTGTTGCCCGTATCAGACGGTATAACTTACGATGATTACCAATGGCAGCGGCTGTTTCCATCTCAGATGCACGATGAGACCACCAGGTTTCGCGGTCCTTCTTTAGGCTAGCACGTAGTTTCGCCCTGAGATTTTTGCGAGATTCATTGTATTCGCTTCCAGCCGGAATACGTCGGCGAGCATCCATAAGTTCCAGAGACTGTGTAGAGACCCAATGTCCGGTTTTGCAATTTGTTTTGCCACATGAAGACATGCCTGCTAATAGCAACGCTTGACGAGTGTGCGACCAGTGATCTTCAACGGTGTTTAGTGGGCGCTTACTCAGCCCAGATGTCAGCGCATCTTGGTACACATTCAGAACATCTGGCTTCGCCAGCTGGCTGGTGTCAATCCGTTCACATCGACGTCGCGGACGTCCACCGAAACGCACCAGGAGGTCGGCACATACAAGTGCGTGGTCAGAGTCCACGCTCGTGCTCCAAATCGAGCGACAGTTTTGGACACAGCCTCTCCAGCGGTAACTGATCGCGATATGATCAATTTGCGTCCATGACTGGCCCGAGGCTGGTGGCCGCCAAGTCACACTTCTGCGAGTGCTGTGTCGAAAATTAGTGCTCGCGAGAAACAGGCGAGCATCTTCACACAGCTGGAGCAATCGCTCACCATTATCATTACGGGAGCCTACACCATGTTGGCCGCCCAGATGAAGCTCATCAGAGGACAATTTTCCGACTTGGGCGTTTAGATCGCCAGCCAGCACCACAGTATCCGTGCTTCTTCTGTAACGAAGGAGCTCGTGAAGTTGCTGGTAGAAATCATCTTTTACCGAATCAGTGCTACAGTTTGTAGGGGCGTAGGCCGCAATGACAAACAGGCACCGTTTGTCCCCGCGCGACTTTGAAGCACGGAACGAGCCAGCTAATCTAACGGCGCACATCCTACTGTTTACTGGGATCCAATCAAGCAGGGCAGCTTCAGCCCGGGGACTCAAAACAATGCCGACGCCGGCTTGACCGGCATTTGAAGCTGCATCATCGCCAGATAGGCGCAATGAGAATGTGCCGCCAGTGTCGCATGTGGGGGATCTCAGGGTAAGCACGGAGCTCGAATCTTGCAGGCGGGTTTCTGATAAACAGCAAATATCGATCGATAGGGTCTCTAGTGTGCGGGCAAGTGCTGCCTGTTGGCCAATCTGCAGCAAAGTGCGCACGTTGAGGCATGCCAATCTTAGCGAGACACGAGGACTCCAAAGGGAAACGGATGAACTGACGTTGTCCGCTTGGTTGAACATGGACTTATCGACTGGATTGGAGCGAGGCCCTGCGATTGTGTGTGATTTGAAATTAGAAGACAAGCGACTATTGAAGTAAGCTGGGGGAGGGCCAAGAATTGGGGGATTGAAAATGGGGGGATATAAGTAAAGTTGGAGCGGGACAATAAGGATGCAGAAGCGCAAGAAGGGGTATAAGAAGACGGGAAGGCCTGAGCAGTAGCATCCAAACCCCTATCCACCCTGCTCGATGCAGCAGATAGGGCGCCGTTTATTATCCTCTGCGACGGCCAGAGCATCAAGAAATTGTTGTAGGAAAGGTTCATTGTATTGCGTGGGCAGAATACTGTCAGGTTGCCCAGGCCTAGACAGGAGAACGATTAGGGTTCTCAATCAAAGCCTTTGGTTCAAAAACCTTACCGCAAGGCAGCGGGTTTTGGCACTGGACTACAGAGCCCGTTTTATGAAATGAGGAGCCACCCCCATTCCAACCCCCAACCTGGAGGACCAGGAGGCTGAGTTTGTCTGGCCTCTAACCATTGACCAATCTGGTATGAGTGGCTCTAAAGGTGCAAAAAAAAAGCACCACCCAGCATAGCTCAATGGATCTCTGAGGCACGCAAACCATCGCACCACGGTAAGGTCCAGCCTCATTGCGATGGCTACACTGCGTGGGAACCAACGAGAGTTCGTCCGTTCCGATCAGGACAGTCGTAATCTAACTAGGATGTTTATGACAAAACGTTGCATCCGTTTCGACTAGGAGAGTCCAGACAGATAGGACAATATAACATTCACTTATAGTGGAAGTGGGATACATACTAATAGAGTGATGTAGTGTGCAAGGCCGCAGCGCTGACTTCCTTACTGGGAGAATCGGAAATGGCTTGGTCACTGGAAATCTCAAGTGGTCCTTGCTTTAAACACGGATACATGTGAAGTGCAGCTCATACCTGGTGAGAGCGCCGAAGCTCTTCATTTGGTGCATGACAAAGAATACTCTGATGCAACACTGCGCCATATAGGGGGGCACTTGAACCTTCCGACTTGGTTTGGCCATGTCTTTTAAATGGCATTCGGTCGCCTACCGAGATGTAGGTTATTTTCTCACGCGTACCCCTATGGAACGCAATCCCGATCACTGCACAGCAATGGAGTCAAGGATAGCAGGCGTTAAGCCCACGGCAACATGGTGGCTATCGCTGTTACCAATGGCCCGGAGACACAAAACGGGCGACCACGGGTTCCAGCGGAGACGTGCATCATTAGTGAATTGTAGGAGGAGGAAAGCGCTGTCAGTGCAGTTCCGGATGTGACAACTACCCGATCGAGATGAATCGAAATAAAAATAGTTAAAACCTCTGGTATCCTTTTCTGATCCGTAGAAAACAGTCACCTCGTAATGTCAGGCCGGCCGGTGACCGAGATCCAAGCCTGGCCTGTAATCCATAATGGTTATGGTGTGCGCCTGTGTGAATGCCACGACGTTGCTGAATTTCTAATCCGCATGAAACTATTGGTGTGCGCGTGGCAGTATAGCGTTGATACGATGCACCGGTGCGCTGCCGATGCTATTTTTCCTGCTACTAACAACATACCTGGAAATAATATGACCTCAAGGGCCCAATATCGACTTAATTGAATGCAGAGAGGCAGAAATGTTGTGTAGGAATGCAGCTGAAGTTTGAGTGAACGCCATGAACAGTGCAGGCAAGGGAGCTAAGTATAATGGTTACCTGAGAGCCAAGCGAGACAACCAAGATAAATGCATTTCGAATTTGTTACACATAAGGGAAAGAAGTAGACCATGGGCGGCATAACAAACGTTTAAATCAAACGAAGTAATATGTACAGGGAAAAAGGTATCCAAACGAGCGAAAAAACATTGTGCGTTCAAAAGTGACTAAGCGCGTAGGAACGGTTTGCACTTCGCGATATGCTTGTCTAACTGATCCCAAATCTGTTGAAAGTTGGCTTTATCCAAATGACGACGCTGGTCCAGATTAATCACGCGAACGTTCCATTTGGCAACATTTGCGTCCAAAGGCATGCTGGTGTATTTCAAGTGAAATCCTTTGACTGAGGAAAAAATGAAACAAGAAAGAACAACGTACAAATTGTAATTGGAGTCAGATGAAAGTTTGGCTTTCATGGATGTTCGGATGTCACGTCAATCGGATGGCTCGCTGCAGCAGAGAATCCACAGGAAAGCAAAACGGCTTTGTGCGCATTCCACAAAAACAGAACGTAGTCTAATGTATTGTCGGAACAGTGATGAAAATATGCTTCGAGTACACAATCGAAGTAGAGTGCACCATACTGAGAAATGTGTCCCTTATTGACGGTTATTTCGAGGCGATCATTGACAGGAATATGTGAACTGATGGTGTAGTTAGCAAAACACCTACAGTGGGAAATAAGCCCATATACTTTGCTATTGAAGAGAAACAACAGTTTCGAACACTTCACTTCCACGCGCATGCTACACTTCTAGCTGAAGGACAAACTCTCTGTGGATGTCACCTCTTTCTGTAGGCACCAATTTACCCGTTGCTAGATGACAAGTTAGATAGGTCGTATGACGAGGCGTTTATATGAATGCGTCCACTAGCATCACCCAGCGTGGCTAAGCCGAGAAATGAACAAGACATAGACCACCACAATAGTCTCATACCCAGTCCAAACGAATCATCTCGTCGTTATCTTTAATGCTTTTTACCCGATCAATCGTGTAAGGGGTCCAGTCCAAACTTACCAGATGTCGAGTCCCTACATTTGCGGATGCAATCGTGATTCCTCTCAACAACCCCCATCGTGTGGACATAAACAGTTCGCTAAGGCTTTGGCCTTACCGTGATCAGCTGTCGTCCGGGCAGGTTCCACTTAAACAAATCACATCCACTATAGTCATTTTGACACCTCTATTTTCTAGTTACTCAATCCATCCTTTCATTTCTTACCTATAGAAATGTGTTGTATATGACCTGACGATGAATCACCGAAAACGAGATTGTTGGTTAGACTGCATAAAATGCTCACCTGATGTCAAACTAAGCTAAGAGAGAGTGGGAAATGTGTCGCACATATGCACGCAGTTTACAATCCTCCTAAAGGTTAAAGTTGCACAGAAAACGGATTCACCACCGCGTGATAGAAGCAGATGATCTCAAAGGTGAAAAAGAGCAGCGCAGACAGCGGTAATCGCGAACGCGCGGGCTCTAGTGCAACGGGAACTCTGAGTGATCGCATACGCGGAATAAACCAAATAGTAAAGGTTGAGTTTTGGAGAATCCGCTGTGTATTTAGGTTGCGACACGAAATCTCAATTTGGGTCGCGGTTTAGTTTGAAGTAAACATTCGACATCTCGACCACTGAGAGCGCATCCGAAGCGGAGTTTTGGTATTGCGCTCCACAACCGACGGATTTGTTCTCGTTTGGGCTCCATGGCACTGACATGGTAACTACGGACGATAACAAAGAATGCACAAGAGGTTAAAAATACGGGGATAATCGCAACAAACGGACAGCAGATAGAGAATGAAATTAGGAAGGTCACTGAATCTTGAGATGTAGCAGACAACCAGATATGGCTTAGGAAGGAGAATCAACAAAGCTACTGTTAAGGCAGTTATTCACTAATCAGATGGTCATTTTGAAATACTCGTTGTGTGAATGGATCGCGACGCGCAATCTCTATGCAGATCGCGATTCACATCGAAGTGAACCTTGGTCAGTGCGATCACGGGGACCATAGACGAAGCGGATGGAAATTGGGCGTTGCTCGAACGAAAACACTGCACATAACGACGTGTTTGAATCTCACCGGGTGGAAATAGCAGACCTCGAACCCGCAACTATTGAAATAGTGGCTGAAATCACTACCCCTTTGGCTTGCAGGTCCCGACGAGCAATACTTTGTCACAACAGTTATTCTCTAGTTGCTAAGAAAACTACATGTGAAGTAGACACACGTCTGGTGTTCACAGCTCCCAGCACTGTGCTTCACCACCGATTTCATGCGTGTTTTCATTCGTTCGGGTGAACACAGTGTGAAAAGAAACTCGGGAATCCGAGACCTGGTTGAGTATCGGTAAAAGCGTTAACCGGGAGGCACCACATCCCACAGATTCAAATTCACTGCAATGTTCAGTCTAAATGGCGTAGAAGATGCATGAGAAGTGCCACTCAGTGTGTTTCACAGTGAGTCGGATGGGAAGCCAAGCCATCGCAACGCGTTAAAGAACGGCTTTGTCGTGGAAAGGCAGAAAGATGCACTGAGATACATGATATAGAGAAGTGAGAGGTACTGCCCATTCCTAGCAGCCTACGTCGAGATGTATCGTCCCCAAATTTTAACCATAACGTATGTATTGCAAAGCAATGGATACAAGATTAAGTTCAGCGAAGTTAACACACCTAGCTAGAGTTGCAATCTAAAACCCGCTTATGGCACAAAGCTCTACCTAGCCTTTAACCTCAGGGATTCAAGGTACTGAGTGTGCAACACGGCCAACTTATGTGGCAAATGTTTGATGGTTCTATCGGAGCACGAACGGTATGGTACGGTTCGGCAATTGGGAGGAAGGTGGTGAAATTGGTGGGGTGAAAACAGTCTACAGGTGAGCGATCGAACAAAAAGCAACACTAACCCAAAGAGAAGATGACGGCTGGATCTGATCCAATCGGCCATCCTTTGAATTGCCAGGTCTGTCCCTGAACAAAGACGGCTACCACGCGATTCCATTCATCCGGCTGTAGTTTGCTTGGTTGGTCGATCACGCGATATGGAACACTTCGACCGTCTGGTTTCTGACGATGAATCAAAATTTCGTTCTCCCTACGTACTCCTGCGGCTTGCTTCTCTTGTGAAGTGACGAAGGACAGTTCCTGTAAACAATTGTGGAGAAAGATTTATAAAGCTATCGATAGAAGAAAGTCCAGATCATTATGTTAGTGAAGTTCCGGCATTCATTAGAGTTTGGGATCCCAACCACAACGTTCGAAATCAAGCAAAAAAGGTTAGAACTCGGCAAATCAGAGTTAAAGGACTGTGTGTGAAAAGCACTAGGCGTAAGGATTCCGGAAGAAAAACGATGCATTTAACATGAGAAAGGGAGGGATAGTTACGAAGCAGAGCATAACTCTAAGAGATATCCGAGGTTTGGAAGACAAAATGGGAAGAGAAACAGCAGTTATGCAATTGCAAGGCCAACAAGAGGAAGTATGATATCCTATCATAAGGTACGCGTGCGACGCTACCGATTCCCACAGACACCGGAAGTGGTGGCGTGGATTTCAGGGAGAAAAAATCCCACCAAGGAAGGATAAGAGTAACTGGATCGACGACAGTCAATAAATCACGGCTACCAAGACAAGCTGGTACCGAGAAGTAAAGACACTCGGTAAAGTGTACAAATGCGTTCAATGTACTCTCATCAGGGGCGGAAGTTAGCGCGACACTTGCAGGTCCATCTCAGTTCAGGTAAATAACTATGACCCAGGAATCGAGCTGTAGTAGATCCAGTTGCCACGACGCACATTGTCAGAATAACAGGAAATAACAACGATAAGCAAATGGGGTTGAATACAAAAAGGGTGTATAAAAACTGGAGTTAAGAAGGAAGTGCACTGAACTAATCAGGACGAGATGGAAATTAACAACCAGACGCAAGGGATTGAATGCAAGAACACCAGTGACTGCGTGAATGCGTTATGTCTGAAGGGGGGGTCTCCAACCCTTCCACGAAGACGGCACGCAATAGTCTGACGAAATCTGTCAATCTCTTCAAGCCCTTATGCACCGTTATGTACTGGCCATCACGAAATTTCGCCCACAGCATATAATGCGCGCTAAGGAGGTCGGTTGACGGGCACATTAAGGATATGACTTAGCCAAGGTAGGTAATTAAGATTCAGCTAACCCTCAAATGAGGCAGACCTCGGTATTGCTCACCCTGTGTGCCCATAAGATGTGAGCAATATTCCGTAAGCACCAGTGGTCAAACACGTCACAACGTTTAATGTCTTCAACGCAAACTGACCACATCTCTGATCCATACAGTAACACACGCCTTGTCGCAGAGTTATACACTCTACCTTTCACTGACAAACTGTTATTCCGTCATCTACATAGATGGAGGAGCCTCTGTAATACCACATGAGGCTTGCTGATACACGAAGTAACTTCCTCACTGATGTAAGCACCAGAGGTGAAAGATACCAAGGTAAGTGAACCGATCCAGCACTTCAAGTGGCTGTTCAAAAATAGCTAAAACCTGTGGCGTATCGTTCCTGTACTGCAACAATACTTCGCATTTTGAAAGTGCAAAGCATATGCCGAAGCGTACAGCACTAAGCATCCGTCTATCCTGCAATGTTTCATAGCCAATGCGTCGGAACCAAAGAGAGCTAAGTCGTTCGAACATTCAAGGTTTGTCAGTCGATCACATGGCAGAAACTCCACTCCGGAAGTCTGAAAGAACCGATTGGTTCGTGATCATTTCGGTCATAAAGTCGAGGACGAGAAGATACAAGATAACCTTGGTGAACTCCATTTGTCGTGGGGAATAAGTATCTGTAAGCAGAGGACGGAGTAACCAACCCATGGGAAATCAGCCGTGTGATGACAACATAAATAAAGTCAACAAATACATAGCACGCGAAGTGACAAAATAGGGACCGACAAAAGCTTACTTGTAGTACATCGCGCGCGTTGTACATTGTGATCAGACTTGTAGGCGCAGCCGGTATGATAATAATCGGAATTCGAGCGGAACGGGCTTTATACCTAGCAGCTAGACGAGCATCGGCTATTGAACGCAAGCCTCGATCTAAAGGAAAAGTTAGAAAACGACATTTGTAAGAAAAGCGCAACCCGAAAATGAAAATGAAGGACAGCGAACATTGCTCGAAAACCGTGGTAAATTGAAGGAAAGATTGAAAAATATACATCAGCAGCACATCCACTTCGTTCAGGTGTTTCGCGTCATGCAGCCGCAGTAGGCGGTAAGAGCGTCCGCAATACGCCGGTAAGCAGTGCTGACGCTTCGTTGCCGCGCAACCACCACCAGTCGCATGTGAGCTAAGGATACTGTGAGGGTCGCTCGGCTCGAACCCGAGCCTTAGGATTACAAGCGAGGTTTATGATCCTTCGAGCTACGAGCTGGCAATTGGCTGTAAAAGGGCTAATGTACTGCAACAGCACCCAAACCCATGCGGAAGCGGAGAATCATACAAGGGGAGTATAGACTTCAGGTCAAACACTTAAACGACATCATGGGGGCCAAGCGGAAAAGACATGGTAATGGGCTACAAAAATGCACTCACATGCGTCTGGGGTTGCACTTGGAGTCATAGGAACACCGGTACCTAAGCCTCGAGGATCTCTCGGTACCGGAGGGTCTTGTACCGGTAACGAAATTTCCGAACCAGCCGTAGACCGCAGAAAAGATTGTCTGCCACCTGTGGAAGGTGCGTCACCAGCCGGCCCAGGCGTACTGGACCCACCGCCTGTAACCATTGAAGCCAGTGCTTTGCCATGGTACGTGGCCATTGTGTCGATCCGGAAGCCAGCTGTTTCCTCTCTACCACTGGCAAAACGTTCTTGATCATAGCGGGAATAGTGCATTTGCGGATGAGGATGGTGCTGAGGAACAGCCGAATTCCCAACAGACATTCCTGGTTGACCGGTGCTGATTGCCATCGCTGAGCCCGTGTTCGTGTAGTTTGTCGAACCCGGAGCCGGCTTTGGATAAGAGGCACCAACCGCGAGCGGCTGCGGAAAGCCAGAAGCAAGTTGAGCAGCAATACTCTGGTATCCAAGTTTGTTCACTACTTGGGGATAGGAACCGCTGTCCTCTTTCAACTGAAAGCAAAAACATTCGAAGCGAGTAGCACGGATCAAAGCAATTAGACAGCAACCAATAAATCGGGAAAATAGTGGTGGAGTGTTGAATGTGGAATAGTAGTGGAATATTGAGAAATTGTGGCATATTAGCAACGTAGCTATGAATGAAATAATAACAGTGATGAATTCAAATTCCATTTTAATAGTGTTAGATTAAGTCTACCGTGGAGGAGCAAACTGCCCGTGATTCGGAACTTATCTTGGGCAGTGGTTACGCACCGACACAAAACAAAATGTGTTGTTGGAAAAAAGTAGGTGCCCGACTTACCACAAAACAGCCAGATACATGTAGCAGAACAGCATGCTACGAAAGTTACGCCCAACTGTGTTCTGCGATAGCCACACATGGTTTTTGTAACTTGAACATGTAAAAACCTACAACACTTCGAGTTCCGCTATCCTATGCAATACAACGTTCGTGTGCTCATTGTGTTCGGCGGTGTTCGCTTCTGTGCACTCAAGGCGCAATTATAGGAGACTGTTCGGTTCTAACTCTGGTAGTAGTAATCGATTCTGAAGACGTGGGTTGAATTCTAAACAACGAGGGGAAACCCCATTATCAAAAGGGCTAAGTCAAACGAGTACCTCAACAATTGGTGAAGATGGCTGGCCTCACCAAAGTTGGAGCAACAATCTCTGTTATACGGGCAAAAATGTGGTTAGCTTCAGTTTTCCATCGGAGCTAGTCTAGATTTAGATCTAGTAGCAACGCAAACAAAGTGGAAACGGCAACGACTGCGAAGTTGTGTGAGAGAGAGAGAGAGTGCGAAAATCCAACGAAGAGATCGAAAAACAAACAAAATATACTAGACAAACGGAAGGTCGAAGGCCAGAACAAAAAATGGTCTACCGAACGAGTCCTGTCACGTTGTGTTCAACAAATAATGTGAATGAACCCAGAATTTAAGTTCAGAAAGGTGAAATGCACTAACCAGAAGAAGTCCCAAATTGAGTTTTCTACATCCATATACGATTGTATCTAGTGAATAAACTGCACCATAAGAGAATGCAGCTTTGGCGTAGACAGCACGTAAAACGATAGAGTGGTGGGGAAACACGTGAGGAACATAACTAAGCCAACGTAGCCGGTTCAGCTTCATTTGAGAATCCAAAAGAGTACCAGATTATCCGTTGAAAAACTGCAACTAACCTGAAACATTAATAATCAGTAATGCACTGTGATTACCAGTACCAATGTCCGCGACGTGCACCGGTCGTATCGCTGGTTAGTGCGGCAATACTGCTTGCACTGTAAAGTTACCTACACAACCTCTGACCTATGGACTGTTGTCTTATCATTAACGCAGACGAACGTGGTTTCGAAAAGCCGCACTAGCCTGATTGGGGCACGTGAATGACCATAAGAGGCGACATGTAAAGCAAGCACACCCCAACCGGTTGTTCGATGGTGATGAGAACCAGTACTGCCCCAGCAGTAGCCCGGATGGCGAATGCATGAAACAGTTAGCGAAGCGTGTAGCCCTCCGAGCCAACCTAATTAGTATCGTAGCATGATCCAATCTCAAAGACGTCAACACATCAGTGTTTGCTAAGACCCCCTTTTAGTCCCTCTTTGGGTGCCGAATGTGATACTAACAAAGCACCACAATGAGCGAGAAAGAAGAATTTGATAAAAGTTAATATCATTGATAGTGGAATTTGGCATAATCTATCAGCATTTGTTGAGTTTACAGAAATTAATTTCTCGATCCCAGCTCTGAACTTGGAGCAAGTGCTGTTTTCTTTGTAACCTGATAGGAGTAGCTTTCATGGTTCCGCAAGTCAACAGCCGGTGTGGTTCATTGGGTCGAAGGTCTCATCACACTAGGCTGGGCGTATAGGACATTATCATTGCCACCTACCACTACTGTCGCAAGAGCCGAGTCGTCAGAATCAGTGTACTGCAAAAGAGGGTCACCAGACACAGGTGGATGTACCTCGGTATATATCGTCGTGATACGTCCATAAACAACAACACAGTAGACTGCACTGAAGTATACGAATTTATTGATTTTGATGCTGTCAAATAAAACTACTGATAGTCTTGCCACTAGCCGGTGGCTGAGTGTCTAAGGTTTGTGTAGAACAACCTCTACGTTGTGCTAACTGGGTGGTTCGGGTTCATCCAGTTCCAGCCAATGGTTCGGCTGAAGTGTTCCAGGACGTGTTGGGCTTTCGTCTGGCAAGCGTTCTCCCCATAAAAGGTCGTACATGCCTTTTGAACAACATTGCAACGTGGCGGATGTGACTCGTCACTAAATAACGTCACTGTTCCTTGCTTCATCTTGATGGAGCATGGTATTCCAGCAACGCAAAGCTGAAATTCTGGGGAGGATTGGGACCCTGTTTGGCAATCGCCTAAACGAAAGTCGTAGGAACTGTGCAATCAGTCACCAGCTCTTAATAGGCGCGATTCCCTGAATTCGCCCCGCTGCCTTGCAAGCAGATTGTTTGGCCAAAGGATCGGGGCGGTGTCCCCTAGGTCAACACCTTACTTCGGCTTGGGCAAGCGGGTAGTATCGTGCCCACTGTGTTGTGTTCGGTTTTCTTTTTAGGATAACTGTATCTTTCCATGATTTCTATGGATATTAATGGACCTATGAATATTCGTAGATTGCTACAAATAAAAATACATTACTTTGTCGACAAGTCGCTAGTTCGAACATGCGTTAGTGGAAGTGACTTTGTAATATTTTTAGATCGCATGCTGCTGCTGTTGCTGAAGGTATGGCAAAGAGATATCTGCACGAGGTATTGATACACGAAAGGCACCTTTTTAGGGTAGACATCTAATTTCGACGAGGGTAATATGATTGGCTTTGAGGTAAGTAGAAGTTAGCAACTAGCAACGCTCAGACGGTCTAAAAATACGCACTACAGAAAGAACGAT